TGGTGCGGTGGTATGGTCAAGAGGGGGTGGGGGAGGAGCTGGTGACTGATGCTTATGTCGGCCGTGGCGACACTCGGTATCGGTCTCTGCTGACGGCACCGACCATTGAGGGCTACAAGACCATCGACTGCATCGATGAGCATCCATTTGCCCCGGGAGATGACGGCCGCCGGCGACTCATCATCCTCAAGGGCACCGCAGCGGCCGACACCATTGCGGCGTACCTGTGGCTGGCCGATGGCCGCATCGGCCTCCGGACAACCGAGGCGCCGACAGAGGGCAACAAAGACATGGAGCGCTATCCCATTGCCGTGTCGGCTGCCCGCCGTTTGCTGGACAAATACGGACTGGAGAGGACAGTGCTACGATAGACAGCTTAGCTGACGACACAGTGGTGAGGCGGGAGGGGGGATTCGTGTGAGGGGGAGAGTAGGCGTGACAATGCCATGGCTCGTCTCATTCCTTGTGGGGTGGGGTGGAACAATGTCTGCAGGTGTCGCATCACTCTGTTGGCTGTGGGATAGACACTGTCGTGCAAGATGTGCCGGTGTATACGGTTTTGCCGTTGTCCGTGGTCTCTCAGACTGGTGACTTGAACTGGAGTTTCGTGTGAGTGACTGATGGTTTAAGCGTCTTCTATAGCACACAACTGACCAATTCATCAGTCAACCAACACGACTGACGAGTCGAATGCACCCATCATCTCTTCACATGAGGCCGGCCACGAAGCGGCGTATCAACACAAGAAATGACGTGAGTGCATCACCCATCTCCCCACCCACTCGACCAACACGTGCACAGACCCGCACACGGTCATGATAAACCCGTCTGTCTGCAAGAAGCCATTAAGGAGCTTGAGCAGCAAGAGGGCGCGGTCCATCCACACATAGAGGACGTGTAAGCAGGGGATGCACAGCTCAGCTGCCTGTCGGACTGCGGGCAGCCTGGTGTATCCTCCGCCGCCCCGGCAGCTTAGGGTGGATAATATGGTTGAGAGACCTCAGCGCATCGATCAGCATCCCACCCAGAAAGAACGACACGTCGTTAAGGCCGGGTCGCACTTTGACCAGTAGGTGAGGGAGAGCCCGGTCTTGTGGAGCTCCCGCAACTCGGCGCCGAAGAATATTGACACGGCAAGCAGGGCATACAGCTGGACGTGGAACACGCAGAGCAGCATCCAACGGCGGCCTACGCCGCCGTCCGTGACAGCAGAGCCCTCGCCGGTGGCACGCTGCTCGCGGACTGAGCCCTGCTGCTGCGGCGGCTGCTGCTGCACTGAGTCACAATGGCATGGCCCGCTCACAGACAGCATGGATGTGGATGGATAAGGGGTACGAAGAGAATCAATCACGCCTGTCGGACTGCGGGCAGCCTGGAAACACGACAAGACACACACAACGTGCACATGTCGATCGACATGGCCCTGTCAGTGCGAGCAAGCCTGACGTGCTTACTGGCGAGTCGGTGGAGCACAAAGCCACCAAGCAAGACTCCCACCAACGTGACGACGCCTGCGTGGATATCAATTTTAGCAGCATACACACGCATGAATGAACCGTGTGAGTGTCCACCAGTCGGTGTCCTCCCTCTTACTGCTCACATCGTATCGGCAAGCCCGGCGTCGGATCACACTTCATGGTCAGCCCCAGGAGCCCACTGCACAGCAGCAGGGCATTCAAGGCGATGAGGGCAGCGTCAAAGATCCCCAGCGGCAGCACCCACACGATGTTGGCGGCGGCGGCTCCCTTCTCTCCCATATCGACTTATTCTCCTCGGCAGTCAAACCACTTGAACTCTCTCTCTGCAGCAGGCAGGTAGATAAGCGGCTCGGTAAGAGGCAACAGGCAAAGGGAGAGAAGAAAATCCTCTGGAGATCTCTCTCGAGACCGCGCGCCATGAACTCGAGCATCCGAGAACGCGGCAGAGCAGAAAGAGCAAAAAGCTCAGTGGGAATCAACAAGAGCAGTCGTCGGGGACCATTTCTGCACATTTCTGCTGCAGATCTCCCCGTCACTATTCTATGCGAGCTTGCGGGCGATCCGAAGCTGCGGCTGGAGATAAAAGGAAGCAGAAGGGCGGAACGGCAAAAAGGCGATGACGCAAGGAGCTGACATGATTTATTCATTCATTCATTCATGCATTCATTCGATTTTGTGTACATGTATTGGCTGTGTTGGAGGCACCTTTAGGCGCTACTGCACAGCAGAAGTCACCTGCAGCACAACGGGGGTGAGGAGCTGACGCACAGGAGGCCTGATCACACGTACAGGCGCGAAGAGATCATGCGAGTGAGAACAAAGATAAGAGCTTTCGCCTGTCAGGGTGATTCGAACATGAGGATGGTTCTGGATGTCCTCTCGTCTGTCGTCAGGCAGATGAGAATCAACGCCCTCGACGTCCACGCTATCCATTGGTGGTGGCTTTGCTGGCACTCGGCTTGCTGCCTTCTCTCGTCGGTTGCCGGTCGATCAGTGTGTCACCTGCTTTGATCGGCCGTAGCGTCCCTGGGCATCTCAGACTTCCTGCAGCGCACACGATGCGCTGCATCTCGCAAGCAGCCGCATGGCGAGCTCGTGTCTGAGCTGGCGAGGCAGCGGGACGCGTGGACATTGCGGTGCCAGCGAGCAGAGGAGCGCGTGAGGCAGCTGGAGCCGCTGAGCGGCTGCCTGGGGAACAGACCTCTGGACTCTGCAGGTACACACGAAGGCCAGAGAAGAGGGCCACATTACAACACAGGTGCATCTCTGCTTGGTCTCTTGCTTTTGTGGGTTGTGTGGGGTTGTGTGGCCACAGGCCCTCCCTCCCCTCCTTTGTTTCTCCTGGATTGTCCGTCTGGACCTGTTGCACATGTGTGACTTATCGGCAGCTGCACATATGACTGAAAACCCGTCCAAAGGCAACCTGTGACCAAAGAAAAACAGCGAAAAACAGCATAGCCAGCCAAACTGTGACAGAGGCGTGGCGTGCGTAAAGTGACTCCCTTAGCTGGCGTGATGTGTGTGACCCAAGTGCTTTTGTGCTGGCCATACACTAATTGATACGTCCAAATGCATTAATTGATTGATTGGTTAGTTCGCCGCTGGCTCGAGTCCATCGGCAATGCAGCAAATCATGACAGGCGCCAGCCATCAGTCACTCATTCATCACACCAGCAGCCAGCCAGTCGGCCAGTCGGCCGTACGCGGTCAGCCAGCTACGTCACCTCCTCCCAGAGAGATGCGCTATGATCGACGCCCCACTCCCCTCGTCAGCGGCACTAATCCGCCCCACTGCCCCGCCAACAGAGTGATGCGACACCTGCAGACATTGTTCCACCCCACCCCACAAGGAATGAGAGGAGCCATATGGCATTACCGCGCCTACTCTCCCCCTCACACGAATCCCCCCTCCCGCCTCACCACTGTGTCGTTGGCTAAGCTGTCTGTCGGAGCACTGTCCTCTCGAGCCCGTACTTGCCCAAAAGGGGGCGGGCAGCCGCCACGGCAATGGGATAGCGCTCGATGCCCGTGCTGCCCTCCGTCGCCGCCTCGGTCGTCCAGAGGCTGATCTGGCCATTTTCCAGCAACAGGTACGCCGCAATGGTGTCGTCGGCTGCTGTGCCTTTGAGGATGATGATCCGTAGGCGCCCGTCATCTCCCGGGACGAATGTATGCTCATCGATGTAGTCGACGGTCTTGTAGCCCTCGATGGTCGGTGCCGTCAGCAGGGATTGATAGTGGCTGTCGTCACGACCGACATCGTTAACACCAGTCACCAGCTTCTCCTCCACCCCCTCTTGGTCACACCACTCCAGGACCATCCGCTTGATGAATGTCGTGAATGATGGATAGAGATAGTCCCCACGGCGGATGACGGGGTCGCTGTCCTTGTATGTGCTGCGGTAGGCATGATCTGCCGGCAGATCGCCCAACGGCACCACACGAAACGAATGATCGCCGATCCGATAGGCACCGTTGGAAGCTCGCTGTAGCGCCAGGCTGGTCCCTTTGTAGCTGAGCAAGTGTCCGAATGTCTTGTAGGCGGCCATGGTGAGGAGCAGCTCATCGAATGCTGATGCGGTGGGCAGCGAATCAGCCGACACCACGAGGGGCCGCGTCGCATTGGGGGAAAGCCGATAGATGAAGGCCAGGCGGATGAAGGGCTTCATCACCTTCCAGTGGCCGCTGCATCGCTCCAGCACATGGGTCGTCCTGAGGGCCCCCGCCACGTCAGGAATGTCGAAGGCCAAGAGGTCATGAAGACCTTCCTCATGTATGGCCCGCTCGATGCGCTGCTGCAGGACGGCTGGCAGGGTGACGCCTCTGGGGATCTCTGTGGACGGCTGCTTGTCGATCTGTGTGACGAGTGCCGGCCGCCTGGTGAGGTCGTCGAGTGTGTGTGAGACCGTCTTGAGTGAGAGGGCCCACAGAGAGGGAACAGAGTCGGACGCCATCAGTGACTGAGATATCTGCACAATGAACAACACAGAGTGGCATGCAGACGGACTGTCTGAGAGCGCCTTGTTTGCCCCCTTACGTGAGCTGGTGGCAAGCCAGCGGCGATGTGACAAGTGGGAAAGCAAAAACCAAACCTGCACACATACACACGCAGCCGCATCCATCTGGAGCCACTCTGAATACACGCCATTGATGCGTGTGCTCTGTTTCCTTGCTCACCCGATGTGGACAGTCAGTGATGGTGTGTGACGCCAGGCAGCAAAGTGGAGAGGAAGATCCGCACGGCGGTTCGTCTGCGAGCTCGACTGCAGACCTGAGAGGGAGATCTGAAAGCGAGAGCACCAAAAAATGACTCAGGATGTATGCAGTGTGTGCCATCTACTCACATTGTGTCTGGCGGCGAACGAATCTTCACCCGATGCGCGCGGTCGTGGGGGCATCAGTCCACGTCGTGGGGGCATCGCGAGACGACGCCGAGACGGCAATGGCGACTCCACAGAGCCTCAGTGGGGCTGTTTTCCTTATTGTGTTTCTCTCTCATCGCTTCCTTCTCGCTCACGCCTCTCTCGTGTCCTTCCTTCGTGCCCCTCGCTTGGCCCCTCGTCGTACCCAGAGGCCAATTATAGTGGAATCCCTTACTGAGGTTCACACCGATCCCTCAACAACAGCACCATCTGCTTCTTTCGTCCCTTCCCTGGTTGGCGCCCTTATGGCCTTCGACTTCGGGGACGTGCCCAAGCATCCCAGCCAGCCATACGCACCGAGACGTAAGATTGCAAAAAGCCTGTCCCGTGTGTCGTCGAATGGGAATTACACTGTTTGTCTGCAGAAATGCGTCAAAGAGTTATCGACGCTTTGTCCACGTACGTTTTGTCTGCCCCTCCCGTGCCCATCAATGCGAGCTGTGTCGCTCTCGAGCTACACTGAACGAGCTACACTGAACTACGCGACGGCGACTGCACAGCAAATGACAGGCACACCGGGCTCCTGTCGGGCAAACGATTGGACAGACCGCGGAAAATTGTCGATATCTTTTACTTCGGCTTTGACCTGGGTGAGACGTGAGATTCTGTCTGCGGGTGGGCGAATGGATCCGATTTTGGTGTTGACACTCAGATATGGCGGAGGTGCGCTTCAACGAGTTGCGGCACGCAGTCGACTGGTTTGTCGCTGGGGAAAGTCGGGTGACTTCGACAGGGAGCTCGAAGCCTCTCTTGATGACCCGGGCGCTGCAAGACCCTCAATGGTCGAAAGAATCGATGGCACGTCATCGATGGGTGATTGAATTGCTGTTTCCAGGTTTGGTGACTTGCGAGATCGAATTCTCGTCATCGAGCTGTCGGAATCAGTGATGCGCACAAAATATGAGAGCAGCCCAGCTTGCAAAAACGATGAAGCGTGCTTCGAAGCACAGTCGTGGGCACGTAACGAGGTCGTGCAGAGGTTTCTGCAGCTCAACGAGGAAATGGATCACAAGTATGTCAGCCTTGGGGAAGACCTGGTCTTCATGAGCGACCCAGATGAGGTGCGCATGACAGACACTGTTGACGTCATTGACCATGTCTCTTTATGCTCTGTGAATCCAAGATACCTGCCGGCGAAGTGATGAAGCTGATCAAGCACTGTGAGCTGGCCAAACCTCTTGAGGATGCTGCACTTGTTCTCATCAGCTGGGCGGGCAACTTCAATATCGTGTTCACGGGGATGATGGACATGCAACTCTCCCAATTTCCTAATGGGACAGCCCCGCGGGGCACTTTCGTGGTATGAATGGTAATGGGGGCACGAGACAAAATATAATATTGTCGATGACTTTCTTTCACAGCCTTTTGAGTTGGTCAGGAGCCGCCGAATGTACTTCTACCGCCGACTAGTGCAGCCAAAGCTCTATGGAGGGTATGAAGACTTATCGTTCAGATGTTTAAACTACACCCCCTTCCTTTCAAGTGCAGCTGGCATATTACAGACTACAACTTCATCCCGTTCCTTTTCGTCAAATGTACAGGCGACAATGCCAAGCGTTCTCACGTATGTGCTGTGTTCGATCTCAGATACGACCTACGGTGAAGGCAGGGGTCAGATCTACATCCGTGAGTCGTGCATGGGCGATGCTCTATTTGGAGATCCGCCTGATGCCCTCCCATCCGAGTTGCGGGCCAATCTCAACAAACCGCTCTCAGGTGAGCAGACACAGGTATGTCTCCCTATAGCACTCCCGAGGACATTCATATTCAGACACTGGCCTGCGTGACTTGGAGGCTCTTCGGCTTGCCAATTTGGCCGCCGCTAGAAGCCCATCATGAACACCACCTCGAGCGCTCTTCAATGAGATGGCGGCTCGATTGGTGTGGGCGCAGAGGAGACTGTACTCAGAGGGCTATACGCGAGTGTATCGCAACGAAGGACGATATATGCGAAAACATGAGGTGAGTGAGAAAGCCATTGTTGTGCCATATATATGCAGAGCCCTTGATCATACCATTGTATGTTTGAATCAGCTTGGCGAAGGAGATGATAAATTAAAGCTGAATGAGCCGCCATGGTTCGTCAAGTGCAACCCTCACAGGTACGTGTGGTGAAGATTGGTCATCAATTGCAGAAAAGACGTCTTCTCTTTTCTGATGTGTCGGTATGTATTGTCGCCTGCAGGTATCCTGTTTTGTTTGGCAATGCCGACCCGCGGTATTTCCAGGAAGGCCGGGGTCAGACCTTTCATGACGGCCAGCCGGCCACAGTGAGCAGTATGGAAGAATGGTCACCGCTCATGCGATGGAAAGGGTAGTCGCCTCACTCAACTAATGCATTACTGCATTCATATGTCCATGACTGCATGGCGCATGTACGTGTCTGGACATCGTGTGAAGTGAGACGTGCTGACCAAACTATGGCATGGGCGTGTCAGACCGCCTGCACTCATTGCAGTGAGTGAGTCACTGAATGGGTCGTGGACTGCATGATTTTTTGGCTGATACATACAAGCACACAAGCACACAGTCAACTGACGCCGGTAGGGTGTTTCGTTTGCATTGTTTCAGAGTTTTGTGAGAGACAGCATTCCACTGCAAATGCGCATTTACATTTACAAAGGGTCCCCCCTCTTCTGTTCTCGTCCAGACCCCCCACTGCTACATCAGTCGATGACGAGTACGTGTTCAATTCAGTCCGAGCGACCCATTGTGGAGGCCAAGCCATCCACATCCACCACCGCAGCGACAGATCTGGACCGGAATGGACCAAACAGCGGCAGCGGGGCGGCGGGTGGTAAGGACCGGGAAGTGGTGGGTGACGGGGTGGGCAAGCAAGAGAGGCAGACTGAGGAGTATCGCGCCAGCGCGCCCATGGTCGGCTGGGTAAGAAGTGAGGTGCGTGCATCGCATCTATGCATCTATGCCACCTGTGCCATCCTGTGGTCTTGTCAGACCTCTGAGGAGGCTCGGAAGCAGCTGAGTGACCACGAGAAACGGCTCGAGCAGCTGAAGATCAAGGTTTGTGCAGCAGCACACTTCGGCAGATGCATTCGGACGCATCTGTCGATGGTTTCATGTGTGCAGTTGGGTCAGACGTCCTTTGAGGTGGCCAAGGCGCTCAAGGAGATCGAAATCATGCGGGCGGCGCAGGTGGGAAGAGGCGAGCGAGAAGAACGGCCCACGTCCTACGTGTGTTCTCTCTCTTTTCAGGTCATCGCCAACAGCGAATACGTGGCGAGCAAGTCCATCAAGGAGGTGGGAGCATGTATACAAGATTACAGATTCAGCGATGGATGGATGGATGGATGCGCCCAATTCATCTATCCCGTGCTTTGCAGTGTCAGGTGGATTTGGCGAAGGAGGTGGAGCGTGTGCAGAGCAACGTGTGCAGCATGCAGTTCTGGGTGCAGGAGGACATAGCCATGCAAATCGATACCATCAAACGACAGGTACCGGCGCGTGTAGGGCACGGCACCACGTGTGGAGGTCTATGTTGTGTGTCTGTGTTGGTCCAGGTTGAGGGGCATCAGGGTGTGTTGAGTCAGTGTGTGCACGACATGGGCATGTGGAGCGCCAAACACTACGAACTGCAGCAGATCCACACACAGACGGTGAGACCACCTGCGACACACAACACATCCCAACAAAAGCTCTCTTTCTGTCCTGCACTTTGTCTCTTTCTGTGGTGTATGTCAGATGTCTGAGGTGGGCGGTCACAGCAAGTGGCTGGCTCAGATTGACGAGCGACTCGCCGCCGCCGAACGACACATCAGCACCCTACAGAAGATGCAATGCGCCACCACGACGATCACCGACACCAACATCAGCAACCAACCCACATTCCAGGTCACACTCAAATACAAATGAAGCTCACCTGGCTTGCGTGTATACGTCCGTCTTTCCCTGTCTTTGATCAGCCCGTAGCTCTGCCATCTCACATGCTGCTTCCTCCCGCCATCCCAGCCCCCACCCCCATCCACCAGCACCAGCACCAGCAGCCCCCACTGACATACACCAATCCCCCCACATACATCCCCCCGGCACACACAGAGGACCACACCACTGAGCAGCGATACCCGTCCTACCAGAACACCCAAACGCACACCCCCTCCCGCCCCATGGTGGAGGAACCGGTCGCCACGACCCAAGCGTGTGGCGGTCTGTTTGCTGCTGGTGGGGGTGGCGGTCCGTCTGTGCACCAGAGTGTGGTGCAGCAGCATCATGTGGCTGTGGGCAAGGGGGGCGGTGGTGCTGTGGCTGGGGATGCGGGGGAGTCTCTGGCAGCTCCCTCGCCACTGGACCTGCTCTTCGGCGGTGGGCGTCAGAAGGCGGCACAGCAACAGCAGCAGAAGAACATCAAAGACATCATACTCAAAGACATGGGTGCGAGAGGGAACGAAGAGGCGTCCATGCTCCCATTTGCGTGTCTGTGTATCCCTTTTGATCAGATTTTGCCGTTCGTGAGGGTCGTTCGGTGACTGAGCGTGAGTGTGTGGAGCCCAAGACGACTGCCCCCCGTCGTGTGCCGCTGCCCAAGGCGACCAAGGAGGACCATGAAGAGGTCGCCGAAACGCTCGCAGAATATCCACGTACGCACAAAGACCAAGGGCATCCAGGTGCATGCATATTTTTCTTTTCGTCGCGTTTATGTATGGAGGTGACGAGCGTGCTGCGTTGCATCTGCTGCCATTCATTCGAGTGCTTAAGTGGTCCCACATCGCATCGGGCAAGAAAGCCGTCATGGTAAGTGCTTGAAGCTCGTCAGGGAGGGAGAGACATGTGTGCACACGCTCTACTGTGGTGCACACATGCAGTGTGATGCTCGTTGCGGTGCCGATGCCACGGAGGCCAAAACGGCCATCACCATCGAGAATCGGTGAATGAGGAGGCAGACAGGGAAGATAGAACTCTTGTGTGTGACATGCAAATGGTGCATGTGTGCATGTGCAGTGTTGTGGGCCCCCAGCAGGAGAATGGCTATCGTCTGCTGTGCACCAATGGCAACTCCACACAGGTACACAGAGACATGGGCATGGAGAATGCATGGCCATACAAGGGTCCGTGTCTCGCGATCGTTTGTGCAGCGCATGGTGGTTTTCACGCCGTTGCTCCGCAGTCCGTTTGCGGCCGTGCTGCGCGAGCTGCAGACACTCCTACTCGAATGCAACCAGTCATCATAGACGCACACACACATGCGTTCCACATGTTACACACATGGATGTCTTATGTGTATATGCATTTGTGAGCACAGGAAGGATTTGATATCGCTGCACGGCCAGCGGATCTCGGGCAGCCGTCTGGACGCCCAGTCCTTCGCGTACATGTGCCAGGTAGGTATGAGCATATATATGGCGGGCTATCTATGTTTCCATCTTTCTCCTTCTCGATGCCTGCCAGGCGATTGAGGACGGCAAGGCACCAGCAACGGTACATAGAATACACATCACATCCTCCATGTATACATCAATGTGTCAGATTCTCTCTTCCTATGTGGTGTGTGGTGTAGTTGACGGCTGTGGAGTGTTTCAAGGGCCCCACTGCCGTGTGGGCCGGCCGATGGAAAACAGACAGACACGACTGACTGACTACGCCACACAGCACATGGCATGCACCAACCAACACATACGGACCGCCCAAGTACCATGAGGCAGACAGACAGACAGACAGTGAGACGGGTAGATAATTCAACGACACATACAGCGGCCGGGGCGGCCGGGGCGGGAGGGAGGGAGGGAGAGCAGACTATAGCAGGCATTGCATGGATGTATGCGTGCCGTTCATCCTGATGACTGACATATTTGTTGGTGCAACAGACCCACAAACTTGAAATAGCCGATGATGGATGGATGGATGGACCGTGTGTGTGTGTTTTGGCTGCTTCATGGCCATGTATGGGCTGAATTGTGTACACTGTCAGACTCGTTGCATTCATGCTCCTTGCGTGAATTCATTGTGCATGCGTCAGTCATCGATGAGTTCGATCGTCAGTTGGCATACTCGAGTCCGTTTCAAGATTGCGAAGAAAGCGAATTTCATGTGTGTAAAGCCGAAGTGATGCATAGCATGGCAGCCATCGCTCAGGAAACGAAGCGAGAGAAACGGCGAAATCGCAGATCACCGACAAGGCAGAGCAGAATCAGACAAAGCAAAATGGTCGCACAAGAAAAACAACTGAAGAAGAATCAGAGCAGTCGGCGGCGATTGGCCAACCTTTTCTGATGCAGTGATTCTGCCCCTCGTCGTCGCTGCGTGTACGTGAAAAGCAACGATAGAGAAATGATTATCCTCCAGCACCACAAACTTGACGACAGCCAGCGTCCCTCCTGGACTATCACATCAATCACCCTTGACCTTAATGGGCGCCCTCGAATGCGTCCATGCGGTCCTGCAGGACCTTCAACGCTCTTTGGGTCTCCTGCAGCTGCTCTTTGGTGTCATTGAGCTTGTCGACCTTCTGAATGAGCTGCTTCGTCACCGCAATCTGAACAAATCGAACCCGAGAAACAACTCTCAAGGCAACCTAGTCGACGAAAAGGAACCTTCTACCGTTGCCCACTCACGTGACTGTAGAGGATGGTGTCCATGTCCACGTACAGTGTGGGCTCCCCCTTGATCACTTCGCCCTCGGCAGTGATGCTCTCGTACTGCGTCTCGACCACCGCCTCGGGAAGCAACTCGCGCAAGTCCTGAGCCACGACGCCTGCGAGCAAAAGAGACATGGGTGAGAGTTGAGCAAGAATAAGGGAGAACAGCAGTGCACTGCAGCCAAAGGTCGGCCACGTACCGATGTACTGTGGTTGGCCCTCCGCTTCGTCCTCAGCAACGGCCTCGTTGAACTTCTTCAACGGAAACTTAGCATAGGCGTCGTAGAAATGGCTGAGGCTGGTGCGATTAACGCTCTGGATGTTGGTCTTGTATCTGGCATCCGACAGGCCTCGTACACGGTTACGGACGACGGTATGGGCCGCCACCATATGGATTTTCGTCTCGTCGTTACATCCGATGACCCCTGCGGGTAGACAGGCACCAGGCAGGGAAGAAATGACAATGGAAGAACATGACTTTGATTCTGTAGGACTGCCCCTAGCTCCCTTACTTACCCCAGCCTCGACCCGCATTAATATATCCGTTATCAAGTGCGGTGTAGATCAGCGGGTTGGGAGTCGTGGCCCCCGTGCTGACATCTCGGCAGGTTCCATGGGCGAAGCCACGACCCCAGACGACGTTGCCTCTGCCGTTATTGAAATCTCCTGCCACCCAGCGCTGACCCAGAACCCCGGGGAGGGCCACAGCGACGGCGCCCAAGAGCATCACGAGGCCGCCACCCGCCATGACGGAAAAGCTAAGGAGAACTGTGACGAGAGAAACAGAATGACTGGGCGTGAACAGTGGTTGCACAAGCCTGCACCCAGGACGCCACGCCGGCCGCCGGCGCCAGGGCGTTAATGGGGGAGGGCGTTAACGGGGGAGAGGCTTGTTAAACGCGGCGTGGTTTCGCGGCAACAATTCTACGTCACCCGCCTGGGTCACGCCACCCCGGACGGAGGGGGGGGGAGGGATCCGACTCATTGGTTGGCTGCAGGATGCGCTGGAGTGGCGAGCAAGCCACGAGTGACGATGAGAGTAAAAGAAACGCGTCGCAGAGAGGAACCACCATCAGAAACTCGAGCATCTATAGATGCACTCGATGCAGTGCGATGAGGCAGTGCACTTGTGAGCCTCTCTGCTGCAGATCTCCTGAGGGCTCTCTCTCCTCCTTTTGCGCTTCTAAGCTCGCATTTCTTCCCCGCGATCGGGAGCGAAGAGGTTTTTTCCCATTGCAAGTCCGTTTTGACGTGTGGGGTCTGAGAAGTCGGAGCAGCAGCAGGCGGAAAACACTCCCACGCACACAGGCGTCATTCATGTGTGTCGACGAGGGTGAAACGTGTGTGTGCGGCACAGAGGGTATCTGTTCGTGCATGATGCTCTGTCTGTGCAGTGAGGTCGGAAGTGGTGCAACCGAGTGGAAAGGATAAATGGCGAACCCATGTGTGTCAGTTGACAGGAAGACACAACTTAGTGAGTGAGGTGAAGTCTCACTCTCAATACTCATGTCAACAGGCCCCAGGCAAATCGGCCAAGAACCCATGGACGCACAGCGAGAGTGAGACGGACACACACACACAGACACACACACACACACACAGCTAGCCGAGCCATAAACACCAGACTAGTGCACCAGACGCACACACACACGCATAATAGACAGTCACACATGGCGGGCGGGCGGTGGGTGCGTGTGGTGCAGGCAGGCATGACAAATACTACCGACGCAGCCAATATTTACCGTGGACAGTCCTCTCCCTCCCTCAGTCATCTGTTCCCTCCCCTCCCCTCCCTCTCCTACGGTCCTTCTCTGTTTTTCCCCCTGTGCGTCTCTCTATCTGTCTCTGTGTAGGTCCCATATGTCAAAGGCCCTCAAGCTCATCTCGACGCCCCCCTGCACAATCCTCCGCTTCTTGGCCGCCCGCATGCGCATCGCACCGAACAGCTCGTCTTGCGCATTGCCCCCGCACAGCAGCCAGGCCTGGCCCCCTCCCGCCCTCTCGCACACAAACGCCCTCATCGCCTCCCACGCCGCCCTGGCGTCACTGCTCAGCCGAATGTCCCACGGCGGATTGGTCACAATCACGTCGGGCTTGTCGCGGTGCGGCAACTGCAGATGGGCAACGTCGTTGTGGGAAAAGTGGATGTGGTCACTCACCCCGGCCCGTCTCGCTGCGTCGCGGGCCATCGCAATGGCGCCCTCGTGCCGGTCGCTGCCGTAGATAGTGACAGGCTCCTCGGCCCCTCCTGCTGCTGCTATGTCCCTCTCGCCCTCAACACATTTCCTCAACACCGACCGCCACACAGGCTCGTCGAAATCAGGCCAGCGGCCGAAGGGAAAAGGCCGCACCACAGGCGACATCATGCCATTGATGACTCCCTCGCCATCCGAATCATCCACACCGCCGTCCAGATCGCCGCCACAATGGTCGTGCCGATAGTCGTCGCCAAGAGAGGGCCTCGGTGGCGCGTCGTATGTCCTGTGAAGGTGAGTGAGGAGGCTGACGGCCCGGCTCTCTGCGTCTGGGGCGACACACACAGACCAGACACACAATGATTGGTTACATGCGTCTGCGTGTGATCTGTGGCTGACCGAGTGCATACTGGCCGAACGAGATGGCCTCCTGCGCTGCCTCCATCGCCACGGCAATGGTGTCGGCAGCCTGTTTCTCTACCCCTGCTTGTCCATTATCCTCGTGCTGTCCTACTGGTGCCGTCCAATGCGCTCGAGTGTGAGTGCCACACGCATCTCCTCGCCCTTGCGCCTCTTTCTGCCCCGACGAACCTGTGTGGCGCGGTCCTCCACAACGCCGGCAGTGCGCCTTGTGCGCGCCTCTATGATGGCCTTCTGGACTGACTGGTCCATCATCTCCATCATGGCCGCCTGTTTCTCCTGCAGAAACGTCAACACAAACAGCACCTCGAGTGACGATGTGTAGCATCCGTCTGCATGCGCCCACCACGCACCTCTTCTGTTTCTTCTTCATCATCCTCCCCTACTCCTCCCCTGTCGCGGCTGCCGCTGCTGCTGCTACTTTTGTCGGGCTTGAGAGCACGTGATCTGCTGGGGCAACAGCCTGCTGGCGATATGCAGGGCCGTATGATCTAGCGCACGGATGGTGACGATCTGAATCCCGCCAGAGCGGAGGAAGGCGAACAAGTAGATGGACAGTAAGGATAGCGCCTAGCGGCCTGTCCACGGAGATGTCATGACGTAGATGTCGTGCCGCTTGGCTCGCATAAAAAGCTCGCATCTTGGAAAACGGTCAACGGTCGACACAAAGTGTCGACAATGTCCGCGTTGACGGTGAAAGGCGAGGCTGTGAGACCGCCTCAATCACCTGGGGATGAATGTGTACACCAACCAGCCGCTCTTTCGACCTTCTCGTCGTCCAATCTCTCATCCTCAGTCAGCCAACAACAGCACGACGTTGAAGAGACAAACAACACAGCGCCATGCATCACAACCACAGCGCATGGCGACGAAACACATCACGAAGGACGGGCCCCGATGACATCGACCAATTCATCAACCATCGGCACAAACCCAATTGGGATAGGTGACACGAGAGAATCCACCTCTGCCCCTGAACTGCGTCGTGAGGAGCGTATTGTAGTGGATTTGGTCCGTGAATTTAGGGAGGCGGCAGGCTGCGAGGCTAGTTTTGAAGAGTGGTCCACCACACTGGAGTACAAGACGATTAACCACCCCGACGGCAGCACAACAGAGGTGTTTGTTGGTGCAACTTTTGAGCCCGAGCCGTTCATGATGACCTTGAGGCGAATTTCTGTGGCTCTACTTCAGCAGTCAGCAATTGCTCCTCGCCATTGCGATCGTCCTCGTCGGTTGCACTGTAATGTTCACATATTGTTGTCTGTCAAGTACGTTTGGGCCGGTGTTTGGCATCCTTCGCCGCATTATAGAAACTCTCATGCAGCTGCTCATGGTCGTGCTCGTCACAGATGGGACCGACCTGCGACGAATGATCGTGCGGCTGAAGAGAGTGGCTCGTTTTTCTTCCAGCATTGGCGCTGGGTCTGTTGATCTCTATTGGTCATGAGCTCCATTTCGACAGCCAAGAAAGAAGAAACATCATCATTCCGATTTACTGGAGCTCACATTATGCGGCTTTCTTTGTGTACTTCTGGCGCGTTGCGGGTTCGTTGAGAATTAGGGCCAGACGAGAGTATGTTATGAAGGTCACGGCAGCTGTCACGATGGCATACACTATGGCAATAATTTGGGTCGCTGCCCTCTCGCCACGATTTGCTGCTGCATCATCCACTGACAGGGACCGATTCTGGATGGCTGTCATATATCTCGCAGTCTTCATGCCCGCTATCGGACTTGTCAATAAACTCGTGCGGTCGCTCAAAGTACGAACTGACTAAGAGAGCCAATTAAGAGACAGCCGACTTTGTTTCTCATGATGTTATGTGTATCCAGGAGGGAGTTCCCACGTGCAATTCGCTGCTTATAGCACTGCCTGCGATAGTCTACGTCATCTTCCCACGTCAGTCACCTCTTCATGGCTGACAGACGTACAATAGAGGGTGTAATGTTCCTGATCAGGCATGCTCCAAGCCGAGGCCGTGAAGCTGAACACCAAACTCATCTACTCTGTCCTCATCTCAATCTGTGACCTGATCATGGACATTTCCTCCCCCTACTGTACGCGCGTCTGCCATGAACACATCAGTGAATTCTTGGTCAATTATGCTTGTCTCCTTGTATGCATCAGCAATTTTACTTTACCTGTCGGCCAAGAGGTTTGTCAAGGCCCGGTGCAAGAGACAGGCACCCACAGCTTATTGCTTCACCGACATCGCGGTGACGGCGACCAAAGCGGAGGCGGTCAGTGGATCAGCCATGGGCAAGGACAACGACGCTACGAAGACCCAGCACAGCAAGAGAAAGAACAGTCATCCGCTAAGACGTCAAAGCTCAATCATGAGCGCAGCGCTGTCTCCTCCTGGTCCAGTCGGAGGGCTGCAGTCGGCCTTTGCCTCACTTGAAGTGTCTCCAAGGTACTCGCGGCCACAATAGACTCAGACACCATCTACACAGTGTGCACTTACGTGTACTCATTGCAGGTATCTACGTGCACTATCCGACCAGGTGAACATCTGGTCCACCTGTGAGTTGGTGGCCCTCTTGTTTACCAACCTGGCTGTACTTACGGCCCAAGCTTACGCAGGCGCGTCATGGGAGCAGCTTGTGGAGGAAGGCATGGGTTTGGTCTTACAGGTGGCTATCGAGCAGCTATTCGAGCTGTGCGTGCTGTGTATTTTGATGAGGTGGAACAACCTTCCCATGCCTTCGTCCAGGTCTGAGAAAGGCGTTCTTCGCCGTATAATACTGACCTTGTTCCTGTTCGCCGGCTTCTGGTACGGCGCATTATCGATCGGTATCCCGGCTCACAGCATTTGTCTTTTTCTGTCTCTCTCTTTCTGTCCGCGTGTGTGTGTAGCATTTCGATATGGCTGCCGTTATTCTTGATGTCTGTGCGGCGTACCATCAGCCGCACCGTTGCACAGCCCAGGGGTATCCTACCTGAGCCATATGCAGACCCGAAAGCTTACTGCCCATATTACTTTCCTTCTGCCTAAAAAGGAGCCGGGCTGCCAGCATCATGCTGATCATGAGTGGAGAGCTGTCTCGGGGAAGTCAGACACGCAGAGCCGAGCAGAGTGAAGTGTGACATGCAAAGCGACAGTGCGCAATTGTTGGATTGAAGTGAATATAGCTGCTCAGCGTAGGCCATGGCCATGTGCAGGGATCAATAGATGGGCACATAGGAGAGAAGAACCTGGGAATGTGGGACTCTAAGTGAGACATGCTGAGTTCATTAGAAGGACTGCTCATTGTCTCATTGACAATGTCTCTGCTCCGGGAGGTTTTCGTTCCTCTGCTCCGGGAGGTTGCTCTTGTCCTCGTCATGTACCCTCTGCTAGATTTCATTCACGCCAGCACATCATGCACGACACTGCACGCACACCACAAACAGACAGGCTCGACATTCACATATATCGGTGTTCAAACTCGACAAACAATCACTCGCCATGGGCATCGCACGCGCACGTATGCCTTGTGTCAACACACAAAGAGCCGCTTGACATTTCGTGAAACCGCTCTCTCGGCACTCGCGGCGTGAGGCGCAGATCGACCGCCCGTTATGATTAGGAGGGTGACGGCTGGATGTGCTTAGTATAGTCGCAGGCTCATCACTGATAGTATAGTCGCAGGCTTCTCTGTGACCGACGGCGGCATTGGACGGCGGCGTCGCGCTTCCTTCATAATCTCTCTGCTGGGCACATCGCACACCGACCGACCGACAGAATCGCCTCACCGACAAACAGGCAAGCACGACAATGGCTGCATGGTGTTCATCCATCCACTGACTGCGATGGTGTGTTAGTGTGTGTTTGCTGCAGTCATGTCGATGAGTGACGAGGGCGGCGCGCCGCCCAAACGGCCCCGCACACAGGGAGGAGAGGAAATGACCGCATCTGATAGCAAATCGGTGAGGCAACTAACAGGCAGAAGAGCACTCATGGTCACATCACCCCTGTCTGTCTGTCTGTCTGTCTGTTGTGGTTCAGTCCATCGCTGAGGGTATGGCTCAGCTGGAGGAGCGCATCGCGTCACTTCACTCACACATACAACAGGTGACCCACACGTCAGAGGGCTCACTGTGACGTGACGCCATCCGTCCAGTGGGCTCTCACTCTCTGTGTTGCCGTCGGCTGTTTGTGTGTCTATCAGGCCACTCGCGAGGCTGCCGATGTGCAGGAGCTCTTCAACACGACAGCCGCAGCACAGGTCAACCACACACAAACACCCACACAATGAGGCCGTCAGCACACTCTCCCATTGTGTGTCTGTGTG